CCCTAGCACGCCCGGGAAGGTCGCAGCTTAGCACCGACCAATCACACGTTCATTCTTAGTGGATCATGTGACAGACCTACCTGAGGGAAAACAAAAGTTGTTTGCTTCTCTGGCTTTTATTCATGTCAGAATAAAGTAAACAGTTCAACTAGAGTCACATTTTAAAAAGAACGTGTGGTTTCATTGGGTGAAATGTTTGCGTATTTGTTTTCTATTTGTTATTGTGTGGACAAGGCATGATGGGTATACTTAATGCTAAGTGCTCAGTAAAATAACAGAATAATGTAATATTGTTCTTCCTCAACATGTTGTTAAATGATAAAAATTGCATGTATTATAATTTTTACCAAATGTTAAATAGCTCCGTAAACACAGGACTTTCACATCATGAGCCTGTTTCTGGTTTTCAGGATGATGCAGCGGCAGGTTTCTCAAGAGATTGTTGATGGAGGATCAATGCATGTCTGGCTGGACCTGACAAGTAAGATGCAAACCCTCCTAATGGTTTGTAGTAATGGTAATAAACTGCTTTGTGTGGGTTAAAGTAGTTTATAATCTAACTAATAATATATCGTAAGTTTTGAGATTTCCTACCAGAACCCGTACACTTAGCATGTTTTTGAAATATTGTATGTATTTCACTTGTATGTACCTTATATTTAATAAAAGTGAAGTACTGCATAACACACGATCATCTACTGTGAATCCAAGAAGCTGAATTTGTTCATTTTAGCTGTTTCTGGTTTTTCCAGATCAACAAATTGCCTTAATGCTGCAGAAGAAACTTCACGAAGCCTTGCAGGTTTAAATGTGCTTCCTCTCGTTTGTCAACTTGTGCAAATGTTCACATGTTTTACATTTTTCAAGGAGAGTTGTGGTCAGAAATCAAGAGCAAGTTCTCCATATGTATAAAACAAAAACTGATTGTGCTTGTTTAATAATTAGAGCTTTGCTGTCACATCACCATCATGATTCCCGTGAAAGTTAACAACAATAAATTATCACCCAGCCAAACACAGCATCACTTACATTGTTAAATGGCTTTTCCTTTTACACATCCCTTTTTATTTTGATGTAAACCTGCTCAAATTAAAGCTGAGACTTGGCACTTTATTGTGCGTACAGTATACTGTGCTGAAGCACATAGCCTGAAGAACAGTAAATGTCTAACTATCCAAATGCTGAGTCTAGAAAATCTTTCCACAGGCTTTTGTGGACAGTAAGTTGGGCAGTATGTCGTACCTGGTCGCCCAGCCGATAAAGGTAAGGGAAGAGCTTATGGATTAATAACAGAATAAAACTGTGTAATAAAGATATGGAACTGCATTTGTAGTGCAGTATAAATGCAGTGTGACAATAAAAGTCTGACAAACACTGTATCAGTTTGTGTTTCTGCTGATGATGATGCATACTGTAACAAGTAAAGTTTGTCGCTGTCATCTTCTAGTTTGAAGAGCCGATCTATGGCAGCCAAAACACAGATTTCACTACATATGTGACGCCTGGAGCTGTGCTCAGGTCAGTGTTGATGACGTATTTGGCTGGACAGCTGCTGTCAACCATCAGATATGAGAAACACCTTTTTGTTTTGGCTTATTGAACCTGTGTGGTTTGTTTAAAAGAGGAAGTGTTAAAGGAAATGATCAGGCATCACAGACTTTATGGTCTTGAAACCAGAAATCCTTCATAGTGAGACTTCTTTAACCAACTTGCCAACCTGCCATTTAATTTCCAGTGTATTTCTCTTCTCCTCCTCCTCCTCTTCCTCTTCCTCTCTGGCCCTCCAGCATCACCTTCTACTTGGCTGTGGGCCTGACGGCGCTCTCCTTTGTCCTGGAGAGGAAGGAGGGACTGTTGAACAGATGCTGGGTTGCAGGTGAGAGGTCCAAGTTCACCCTACTCCTACAGCTCACACAAACATGAAAGCTGGATGCTTCCATTGAATATATCATACAGGGACTGTGACTGTTCCTTTGCTTGAATTCTTTAAACCTGGTTAAAAAGCAACCAGAACCTCCTGTCATGTTTTAGCAGCAGATTGTCTATGTAAAGGCCCTGCCACTCCAAGCTGATGGTGGCGTCTGTTGGGGCTCATCTTCCCTGCGTGTCCAGCACCGTTCTTGGTGGCTTTTCAGCTGATTCAATATGTTGAATCTGCATATTTTAGCTTTATTGTTTGGGGAGAAAATCCTAAATACATCTGCTGGTGATAGATACTAAATCTTGAATTTAATCCAGTTAATAAGTCATTTAAGTGTAATCTGAGAAATGACCAGTAGAGGGAGTAAAATGATCACAGCAGAATAGCAGACAGTTATTGTTTTATCTGAACCTTTAAATAACATGTATGTAATGATTAATGCATTTAAAGATTCAGTTGAATGATGCTGGGTGTGTGATGGCCATTACTGCTGATATGTTCAGAGATTTTGGACAAAGCTTATGACTGAAATACACATTGGTTTTTTTGTTTCTCACCAGGTGTGAGTTCCATGGAGACGATGCTCGCACACCTCTTCTCTCAGCTGCTGGTCATCAGTGTACAGATCATCCTGATGCTCCTCTTCATACTGCTCGTCTTCAAGGTTTGTCCTTCTGACACAATAAAGCAGGCAGCTAGGGGCAATATCTAAATGGGACATGCTTGTTGGGACAGAAGTAATTGCAGGGAAATGTAGGATAAGTAATAAAACAACCAAATGGTCAATAAAATGATTTTGGTTTGAAGATAGTTTGGCATGTTGTGAGCAGTTCTAACATGTTAGAGTTTTACAAATCTAGCAGGCCTGTTGCTATGCTCATTTGGACTTTTAATACACGATCAGTCAAATGATTCTAGGTCGCCTCCATCTTTCCAGTGACTAGTGTAATCCAGCATCTTGAACACACGTGTCGTTTTTTTCTATAACTGAAATCAAACGTACCTGGGACACACGGCTGTGTTGCAGACTTTCCCACAGATGTGCTGCACTTATAGTTTGCTTTGCTTTCACTCTTCACCTGGAACATCTGGACACTGTGCTGCTGTTCCGTCATCTGAAGCCGACCGTCCTGTCCTTCTCCTTCTGCACAGTCTGGAGGTGTTTTTTGCTCATTGCCCTGCTAAAGGATACAGCCCTGTAAAGCTCTGACCTCCTCTGTTTATGGCCTTTTTCCAAATGATGCTTCAGAGGGTGCCGTTACACAGTCTTTTCCAACACTGCCTTTGTATAGAGAGAATTTGTTGCTGGAAGTCATCAACAAAAGCTGAGACCCCAGCAGGAAGTGTTTGCATCGGTTTTCAAGGCTTCATTTACTTCCACTGCTGCAGAAAAGATGGAAGTGAACCTTTTACCTGATCCCTGCAAAGGGCCTGGTTTACATACAATTTACATACATTTTTAGTTGTGGTGACTTTTTTTTTTGCTTCCATCAGTTTACTTTTTATATCTGTACCATTTAAAATCAATACAGGGAGAAGACAAAGCCAGCATAGAAATCATTTGTGTATGTGCGTCTGTGTCTTTGTCTGTGCCCATGCTTTTATGAGTGTGTGCGCTCGCTTGTGTTTAAGGTGCTGAAGTTCACTGAGGACCTCCGCTCCATAAATCACTTCCTGCGTCGGTCATAATCAGGGATCGCTGCACAATCGCCACGACAACAGCCTTTGATTGCTGTGGCAACTGAGCGGCCATGTGATTTCTTGGTGTGGGTTTATTTTTGCACGTTGTCAGGGGAGACAGTGTTGTAACATACTCAGGACAAGTGCACACACCCACACACACACACACACACACACACACACACACACACACACATGCCTCCAGATTCTACTTAAGTAAAGATTTATCAACTTAAACTTACTGGACTTAGACATGCAGATGCTTCTGTTTGTATTTGATTTTGAATCATATCTCATTTCATGTAATGCCTCTGCTCTTTGTACACTGTCCTCTGTGATTTACAATCAAACTTCATCAAGTTCTAGTCGTGTTTTTGGCTGAAGATCAGTGCAGAACATCAGGGACTTTTCTGTCTCAGTGGGTCTCTCCCTCTTTATTCCTTTCTTCATTTTTCTTGATCTTGATTCTAATGTGCCACTGATTTAGCATTTCTCATAATGGACAGGGAATTAACAAAGATTTTACAGACTGTCAAGTGAAAATGGGACAGGATGTGATGTCTATCAGCTATACCATCCCTCTGCCATGGCAGTCTGCTTCCTACAGCCCTTCTGTTGTTATTCCACCTTGTCTGCCCTTTGTTGTCAAAGTTCTGTCTGTAAATCAGCGCCGCCTGCCACCTAGTGAAGGTTATAGGAACTGGTTTTTGAACCATCATTTCAAACAAACAGCTGTGGAGCAGCTCTCATGCAGCTTCAGATCTCAACTGTGCCAAATTTACATCTCTGTAAGAGATATAACATTTCACCCATGATTAGATTAAAATGAAAGATTGCATTTTTTAAAGAATATTTTAAAAAGTTTATTGTAATGTTGTGTGTTTTGTGGATGTAAAAACAAAATGGAACTCAAACTCTCCTTATCTTCTTCATTTTCATCATTCAGTTCCACTTTTAGGTGAACTGCTGCTTAGTGTGTGAAAATACCCTCAACCTTTATGAGCCTGTTGTCCTCTCTTACCCGTTGTCTTTCACTCTCTCTGCAGATACCCAATGAAGGCTCCTTGGTGCTAGTCATAATACTGATTGTGCTGCAGGGTGTCACGGGAATCTCGTTTGGCCTCGTCATCTCAGCTGGAATCGACGATGAACAGAGCGCCAACCAGACCGCCCTGGGCATCTTCTACCCCAACCTCATCCTCAGCGGTAGGCCTTTAATGTGAATCAGTAGCAGCAGCTCGTGCAGCCTCTGCTCTCTGGAAGTTAAAACGAAGTCTTGTTCAAGTGTAAAAAGTCTTAAAAAGTCCTGTAGGTGTCTGATTGATTAGTGGGCCATTGTTGAAATAGGAAAGCTGATATAACTCTTTGTGTAACATGGATGAGAAGTTCTTAAAATGCTCAGAAAAAATGGAAATGTCATTGGTGACCAGGCATCTGCTGTTGAAGATTCTGTCATATGGTTGTTTTCAAGTTTCAAGATTGAACTTTGAACCTCATATTATGTTATTTTTTGTTGCCATGTCCTCACGTCTTCACCTGCTTTAGATGAAATAAGCATACCAAGGTAAAAACAAGAGAAGCCAGAGGTTGTAAGGGGTTCATTTTCATAGATAGATACAGTATATGTGTGTTAACAGCAGGTGTAAATTATGTCTTACACAATATCTTATCTGTCCTCTACTTCAGGTATCATCTGGCCAGTGGAGTGTATCCCCTATCCTCTCCGCTACCTCAGCCTGGCGCTACCTCAGACCTACGCCTCTGAAGCCCTTCGGTGTATCATGTACAGAGGTAATGTACACGAATGTTACACAACACACTTTAGTTTCATAATGTTACAATGTGCATCAGCTCATCTGCTGTGTAGTCAGAGTCAGATGCATGCACATGACCAGTGTGCCAACCAGTCGCCTGAATCATTGATCAACCCTGGATACTGTGTAACTCGACTTCCTGGCATGTAAGCTATAGTGGTTTTGCTCTGTCTCTCCCTCCGGACCTCATCGTCTCTGAGCAGTAAGACCTGACGACAGCCCGAGCTCCCTCCACATTACATGATACATGCACAGCACAGGAAGTTAGAGGAGTTGTTTCCTGTTGAAAACCTTATCTTAGAGATGCAGTGAAAGATGAGACACAGGCAGAAGGCAACAGATTAACAGAATCATTTTTTACTTTGCAGCTTCAACATCGTCCAGCTGTATTATGGTCATGTTAGTCTTCAGTAGTATTCACTATAACCTCACTAAGCTTATGTGCAGATAATAATAAACCATGACTTAATGTGGTTGGGCTTCGTTAGCTGAGTTACTGACACAAAGCCCAGTGCAAAAAAGGGCCATAAGTCACTGACTGCTGCGAGCACACAGTAAGATTCAGTCAGTTATTGAAAAGTAGTATCAGATATAAATCTCTAAAATGTAAATATGCACTGGACCAATTCTTGACATATACATATACTTTTGTCCTCCTGTGTCTAAACATAAATGTTGCCGACAGGTTGGGGTCTGTCTCAGATGATGGTGTGGCGAGGCTTCACGGTGACCCTGGGCTGGAACATTTTCTTCCTCATCCTGGCCACAGTTATCTTAAAGCTGAGGACATGATAACCTCCCCACAGAGAGCATCCTTCAGTGTGCCGACAGAGCCATCAGATGAGGCGCAGGAGCCAACGACTCACCTGAGCTCTGTGGATGGGCTGGGGCGGCGGCGCTGAGGAGGAAGGTCCCTGCGGTTTAATGGGTTGACACAACAGTCTCCCACACACACACACACACACACATGTGCTTCTGTGGTCCCCAGCCAGCTGCCTCATCCTGCAACAATAGATTTGGTCTGTTCAAGAGTGAGTGAAACTTCAAAACGATGCATGTAGAAGTACACAAAACAGAACATACATATGCACAATTTGAGAAAATGTGACAAATAGTGAATTTTAAATGAAGATAGTATTTTAGTTTGTGTCACTTCTACAGCTTGTTGAAACCTTTCACCTCAGAATGGGCCATGCACCAACTCAGGGTTGCTTTTTTATATATATATTTCTGTTTGCCCTTGCTCTTAATGCTAACAAAGAGATTTTTCTGTGATGCACTGTGCTTCAGAGTAGGGGAGGCCTAAGCAGTCCACCTTGTAAAAAAGAGGAAAAAATAGTGTATGATGTTTGTTTTTGTCCATACAGCATTTGTTGTCTACCTTATATTTACTGTATTTGCATTATAGATCAAATTTGGGCATTGGAAAATTGTCAGAAAAAGTCTTGGCACAAGAAAATGTTCTTGTCGACTAGAAAATGTGAAACCTTTCCATTTGCTTTGCAAGCAGAAAAACTGAGCAGAGGATTGTTGTTGTAATACATTGTGGGACCACAGAGAAGTTTTAACCGGCTGATTTCTTCTTGTCCAGGAAACCGTCACCATTCAGGCTTCCCACAGCAACGACTGTGCTCTCTAGCTGCTTGCTTGTTGTATCTGTTCAACTACATGTCCTGTCTGGTGTGTGACAGGAAGTGGTGACCGTGTTTCAACACATTGTGTTAACAGGTGCTCAGATGCAAGCTGTCTTATAGATGTGCGTTGCTTATTGATGATGTTCTCCACAACCTGTGCTCTGTGCCTGCATCTCCTGTGGGAGATGATGTTGGGAAAGTATTGATATTGTACCTTTTTTTAAATTTTAATTACTCTCCACCTGTCCGGACAGAGTGGAGGCAGTTGGACAGAGGTCGCGCCAGGTGTGTTGTGCTCTTCACTTCATCTGCATCCATACAATATCGTTTTTTACATAATGTTTCAAACTGATCATATTATATATTTTGAATCTTCCAACTGTAACACAGAATTAAAGCACACACGAGTAATAGTCATGGTGATGTGCCTTTGGGAGATTTTGTTGTCTGGGAAAGGGGAAGAAAAATCTAAGCAAAATCCAGAAATGACAAATTATAGTGGATAGTGGAGCTGGATTGTAGTTGGTGACTGGAGTCACTGCCTTTTTATGATGATGGGAAACTAATGAGTGAGTTTGAGTTAAAAAAAAAAGCTTGATTTTCCTTCCCTTAGTGTACTTTAGAATGTATGTGTGGGGGCGGCTGTGGCTCAGGAAGTAGAGCGGGTCGTTTCCTAACCGGAGGATTAGCGGTTCGATTCCCGGCTTGTCCAGTCAACATGTCGAGGTGTCCTTGAGCAAGACACTGAACCCCCAGTTGCTCCCAGTGATGTCACCGGTGTGTGAATGCGTGAGTGCTTGGGAGTGCGAATGGCTGAATGGCCGAATAATGTGAAAGCGCTTTGAGTGAGCTGTAAAACATAGAAAGGCGATATACAAATATAAGACCATTTACCATTTGAGTACTTTTATCATGCTGTCTTGAGTCAT